GACAAGCACTTTTTCCAAATCAACCCAGGGTCCAACGTGTTTCGTTTGGGAGCCACCTCCAAAGAAATGGTGAAATTTGGATTTCTTCTTTAATTTTTTTCTCAGCAACCATAAGAGTTACAAAGATGAATGACACGTCTCTGAATAGGTTTTCGGGTATGCCCTATCCGATGTTGAAAATTTTCAAAATTCCTGCCACGAAAGGGCACACCCCGAAAAAAATTCTGAAAAAAAAGTTATATTCATTTGAAGATTGGGCCTTCGAGTTACAAAGTCCCGCCTAACCTAATTTTGCATGTAGTTAATTGAAAATGTTGCAAATAACAAAAAAATAAAGATTTAAATCGATACTACGATACTTGCAATAATATGCTTATTGATTGTAATGGAACTCTACTTAAATAGTATATTAAGATACAAGTGTATAATCAAGTTTAAGGGCACGACGCAAAGCGGAGTGCCTTTAACGTTGCAAGTGCTTTAAACACCAATTATACACGTGTATCTTATAGTATTTTTTATTATACCTGCAGTATAATTTAAAAATAGGAAATACAATGAAGTCATATTGACGTTAATACATGTCTAATTAAGTGGGCTGGGTGTTAGTAATTTCACGATTGCCATGGAAATGTCACTTGACGTTTGCTTATAAAAATCATCGTCTTTGTGAATTAAAAGATTTCCATTGAAATAGTATATTAAGTATTAAGGTCAGTAGGTGTACTTTACTGGTTGAGGATAATAATTGCAAACCGAGAGCGCAGCTCGAGGTTTGCAATATTATCCGAAATCGTTTAAGCACCTACTGACCGTGGTGCTTACGCTATTTTTTCACGATCAATTTATAATTGATATAATAGTTATTTGTTTCATTAGTACAAAAAATGTCAGTTTTCGGGACGAGGAAGATAGTTGCTGGACGACGCGTTAGCGGAGTCCAGCAACCTTCCGAGTCCCGAAAACGCATTTTTTGTACGAATAAAACATAAAATTTTTTCTCCAACCCCCTTTACTTCAAATTATATTCGAATTTAGATTCAGTCACAGTTTCACTACTAGTATAAGAACTTCTGCTTTCTTGTCCTCACGTGTCATGCCACTCTAGTTTTTAGGTTAACTTATAACCTATTCGTTCTTACTTCTCACCTCTCGCGACTTTGTAGGGAGCAAATCTTGAGGTAGCATGTTCTGCCGTTTCTATAATCTCTGGCGGAGTGCAATCCATGTCGCTATCAGTTTCAGTCATTTTATTGTATACACAATTAATATTGTTATATTTTGTATTGAAATAAAAAACTTACCATACAGTTTTTTAATTAAAATTAATTGCAATTAACTTTTTCAAATTTTGAATTCAAAATGACAGATAATAGTGCAAGGGGTCTGAAGTAGATGGCGTTACGCGCGACGGCGGGTTGTATACGTATTAAAATTACGTTCATCGAATATGTAAATTACGTTACACATGGTTTAAATAAAAATAGCGAGCGTAAATCATTTTCAATACATGTACATACGTATAGGTGACATCATTATTTGCATTTATATGCAAAAAGATTTGATTTGTATGTATAGAAATATCTTATAACCTGCAATGTAAAACGATGTCAATGTGACATATCTCCGTGATTGTAATTTTTTAATTGGCCAACTTTCAAGGTCAATTTCTTTTTGGTACTAGGACCAAAAGTATCTACTTTTTGTACAGTTGCCATGGTGAAAACGATTAATCCGCAAAACGTCAATTTTACGTACCGAACACTGTCACAAAATAGCGTCTTATTCAGGTGGTTGGAGAAAAACTAAATTCGAATGTATCAATGTGGTAGCATCACAATGGGTTCAGTAATTTTTTGTGGGTTGCTACAGTTACGTTTCTGTTTTTGAAAACAAAACAACACGTGCGCGAAACGTGGTTTGGTTGAGACCATTGAGTTAGAAAACTAATGGAGGGAATCAAATGCTTGGCCAGACGTAGACCACGGGAACCAAAAGTGGCCTCTAACTGTGATTAAAGTACCACACCACTTCCGTTATCATTAGCGTCTCAGTTCAGTGGCGTAGAGATATAATTTTCTTTCCACTAATAGGAATAATAACAAAAAAAACGTATAGAAGGAGTAAAATACATGATCGTGGTAAAGTAAACAGAATAGAGAAGGATGGGAAAGTATGCAGATTTAATATAATCATTGATTACAAATCTAAATATACATCGATGTGTTCCATTGGTATAATTAAGGCCAGTTTACTATAGCCACTACAACTTGACAACTCCCATTAAATTCACTGTGTTGATCAATAGCTACAATTGATTGGTTGGTCTCAGGTTCATTACAAGTTTTGATAGTACTTACTGCATATTTCCATATTTGACGAGATATTTGATGAACATTTTCCGGTGCAACCTTTGGTCGAAATCACAATCAATGAAGCGTTGTGAGCACAAAAGTAAATTTCGAGAGCTGTTCTTGAGATATATTTACAAATGTAATATTACCATTTTGCTCGAAGTACCGGTTCGTTTGGAAAACTAAGAAACATACACTAGGTACCTACAACCTCGCCTACAACAAGATAAATGACATGTCTTACCGATGAAAGGAAATGCCCTTCCCTTCCCTTTATGAGAAATTTTGCATGATACGCAGCTAATCATTCTCAATTCACAAAATTGCGTGTGATAAAAACAGTATGCGGCAGTTAGTTATTTATATAAACCAGAGCACAAACCGATCCGGAATTATTAGGTACTTTAAAATGGCAAATTTCATAAAATTTGAATTTGGTGGAAAACTGACAGTGACAGGACCCGCGTTTTCATATGTCAAATAATGTCGGCCAAAATGTACCTTCACGGGAACCTATCCACGCGAGTGGCCTCTATCTGTGGCAACTTCCGTCTACAAAAATTCTTACCCCCTCTACCATTATATTCCCTCCATTAGTTTTCTAACTCAATGGTTGAGACTAAGTGAACATACCTAAATGATTCAGAAGATTTCGAAATAGAAGATGCATGGAGTATTGGCTGCGCATCGATCATTCCCGAAAAATTTAAAAGTAGATATGAAGCCGCATATGATTCTTTCCTTAAATGGTGTGAAAGTAAATGTCAAACTGACATAAGTGAAAAAATTGTGTTAGCATATTTTGTTCAACGTAGTGAAGGATTGAAATGGCTTATGGTGTGATTATTCCATGTTGAAAATATGATTTTTCTAAGAAGGTGTGTTGATATTTCTAAATACAATACGCTGATAGCATTTTTGAAAAGAAAGAACGTTGGGTATCAGCCAAAAAAATCTAGCGTTTTTTCTAAAGCAGATTTCCATAAATTTCTTACGGAAGCACCCGATGACACGTACTTGGTGAGTCATTAACTAACAAGATTGAAACCGCTCAGAAGATTTTATGTGGAACTCCAGGGAACCCTTCATCATCTTCGTTGCCATCAACAGAACCTGCTATTTCATACCGTACTAATTCAAATCCGCTATCGACTGCTGAGTGTGAAGAATCTGTAAACACCGTGTTTTCCAATTGCCTGTCTAATTCCCGAACTAATTTTTGTAACTTGCAAATTGTACATTTAACTTCCACATTAATAAACAATACTTTGATTTTTGACACATATCCTACTTGTCGCATGTTACTGTAACTGTCACTTGGTTGCTAAGCACGTTGCTATGATACACTTACCGCCCTAGGTTGGTAAGTGCACCTTACCGCCTTGAAAATGAATTAGTAAGTAGCCGACTATAACCGATCGTGCAAAAAAGATAATACACCGTCCATTAAATCGATTGTTGTAAAATCTAAACAAACGTTGGTAGGTGTAAAATTCAACTCCAGTAAAGCCTATTATAAAGAATATGAAAAGTTGTTTCCATGGATGAATAGGAAGTTACTTACGAATAAAGTCTTAAATGCATCCATAATGCTGGAATATATGAAGGAAATGTCAAAGGTATTTAAATCTTCTATATTTTGGTGCATTCATTCAAAACTTTAAAGCAATGCTGCGATTAAAAAGTGGAAGTACAGATTTGGAAGCATACCCTAAATTACGCGCGTTTGTGAAAGCTTCAACCAAAGGATAGGTACAAAAGCCAAAGAAATGTTCTGCATTTACAGAAAGCGACCTAAGAGGATTTTTTATTTCATCCAGATGACAGTTTCAAAAGTCATACTTGAAGTATCGTTACTTAGCAACTTTAAAGCACGTGTGTTTTAAAAGCCCTTTTTCGCACGCATTTGAGTGTTTAAAACGGAGATTGTAATTCAGGTATAATAAAAAAGTATTTTCCCACCACCCGTAGCCGCAGAATTTTTGGAATCGAATTTGCAGACTTGAATACCATGATCGACGTCTCGAATTTTTTGTGATCATTTAATCATAATCGAGATCATAGTATTGACTTAAATCGTTATTTTTTTGTTATTCGGCGGTCTCTGTGGTCAGAGGTGTTGGAGGAATAAAATGCGTTGATCTTTTCCTCTGTTTAACTGTTGGTTCTTTCAACAGACGCGTGTAAACATGGATGTTCAATGTTCGTTTTAGGTCACTTGATTTAGCGTAAGAAAATAATCACTGTGTTTTCTGTTTGAAGCTGCAAATCCAACCTGCAAGCCATCATAGGAATATGCTTACTATAAGTATAAAAGTGATTTTGGTGGTAGCTCATGCGAAAATCTAAACCTACATTTGTACAAAAGTGCCTGAATCGGCGATTTTTGGATTAAAAACGGAAGTAACTGAAATCTAATTTCTTACAAAATCTGAATGCATCATAAATAATATACTGTAGTCACGAAAGAATCTGGACCTTGCGTTACTTGAACCTCTAGAAATTTACGATCATCTACATGCACTACTTGCTTTAATTTCTCGATTACCCAGCCCATTAATTTAGTGCCAATACACATTCCCACACAAAATAATATCTCATGCTTTTATTAAGGACGGGTCACTAATTCAATGTATTATTTTGCAGCTAGCGGTACCTTCGTGCCGGGAATGGAACCGAAACGACAAAGGACCGCCTATACGAGACATCAAATATTAGAGCTCGAAAAAGAATTCCACTATAATAGATATTTAACGAGACGACGGCGAATAGAAATAGCTCACACGTTAGTGCTTTCTGAAAGACAAATTAAAATCTGGTTTCAGAATAGAAGAATGAAATGGAAGAAAGATAACAAATTACCCAACACGAAAAATGTAAGGAGAAAAACCAATCCCGCTGGGGTCACGACAACGACAAGCAAACCTGTGACGAAAGGACGCGGAAAAACACAAAACAGCACTTCGGGTAATAATAATGATCGACGGAAAAACAGCTCCAGGGGCGACATAGAGGGACTAGGAGAAAATATGTTAGACGTTCCATTATCGGGCGGTCACCAAATTCCTTCTGCTATAAGTCATTCACATGCTCATCCTATGGGCGCACCTAATTTACATCATCCCGGAATGCTTCATGGTGGACAGAACATCCATATGGGACATATAGGTTCGTCATTAGCGCCATTATCTTTATCACCTGGTTGTGCACCGACACAAAGTGCGTCGCCTATCATTAAGTCGGACTATGGGCTGACTGCCTTGTAAATAAATTAACGTGTAAAGTGACGATTGATAATCGTGGTATAGTTCGACAATACAGACACCGCCGTTTACTGTGTAAAAGTGATTTCTGAGACATTCTCCAATTAGTTTCAATACGAAAATACGGTTTAAATTATTTCAATTATTAGCAATCGGAATACTTGTTGTAAGTTTTGTTTTCGTTCGTTTCTGTCTATATTACGCGTTTTTTCGGACTATTTTTATATGGGCATAGTTAATGATTTGTACAATATTTATCGTGTTTTGTGCCATTTACCTTTAAGTGTTTTTTTGTTAAAAATGTTATCAGTTTCTATTGCGTATTTTTATTGCTCGCTCTCTTAAAACAATGATGCGATACAGGAAGAGGATGCTACGTATTCCTTTACCTAAGTAATTTGTTACAAATAATTTGGCACAATTGTAACAATAAGTCGAGTATAGATACTTGTTTAATTACTGTAACTCTTATTTTCATTCGTCATGATTGATATCGATGACTAGCAAATTTGGTCCAGGTAGCTCGAGTTATATATACAAAGTGTGTAAGCAGGTGTCCACAGTATTAACCCCATTCAATGAAATATAGCACAACAACAAACGTCCTTATTTATAAGTCATTTTTACAAAATCTAATTAGTCTTTTTGTGTTGTTATTAGAATTGCAGTAAATTAATTGAACCAAAGATTAAAATTTTAATGAACTGGAATCATTCGATATAATGTTTCTATTTCTCAAATAACTAATTAGGTGCCTCTTTCTGTGCTAGAATTGTTATTTATTACAAAATGAAAAGTATTACTTCTATTTATGTACCTTTTATCTTATAAATTATGCATGTAAGTAAGTATAAAATTGTGTGATTCTGTACATTAGTAATACAATTAGTGGACTTTCGAATGTCACTATTATATTCTAGCTCTCTCGCTAATTAAGGTCATAATTTATAAATTTATTAATTATTTAAAATTTTATATTCGAAAGTCTTAATACTTGTATTTAAAGTTTGTACATACTTAATAAGTAACGAAAAGTCGTAATAAACAACATACTTCTATTAATCTGAGATTTCACTTTGGCCTTACAATTTTACCGGAGAACAGTTTATTGGATTAAGGTAAGTAGTTACCACTACCATCAGGCTGATAACATCGGAACAGTATTCTTGTTTTTGACGTGAATTAAAAGCGACCTTGTCTAATAGTAACATCAAATGAATTTATGGAAACAAATTTTGATTCAATGATTTAATTTATGTAAAGTCTAAAAGCGTGTAGTTACGGTTGACTTGAGCATGGGGAGGTAGATGGCAGTATAGCATGAAAAAAGATTGTGCCATCTAATTAAAGTCAAATAAGAACTATGACGAAATGGTGTTGTACAGTGACTACAAAATGTTTTATGCAATAATTCGCCTTATAGTAAGTAATGTGAAACTATCTCTTTCTTTGAATGACAAAATTGGTCTTAAGGTTAAACTACAAAAATCCGTTCATTTAGTTTTCATCTCATTACCGAAAACAGTTCAGTTAATTGCCTCTTTATGCACCCACGCACACTCAAGAAAATTATTCCACACAGAGTAAAACATCAATGGGCCCTTCCATTTTAAAGAATGTTTTATATAAATCATTTTTTTATATCCCCGCTAGTTTCCGAAATAATTGACCGTTCAAGACAAGTGGGACACCTTGTATATAAATTAATTGGGGGCGATATTCAAATATAATATTACAGAACTGGAAGTCACAAAGTTTACCGAAACTCACAAAAGCAATGACCGCTACACCCCAATTCGTGCAGCGTATGCAGGTGCAGTCCATCATTTTTAACACACGGTTTCTCGTAAACACCTCGGTCTCGGTCCCAGGTTGTTGCAACTTTACGGGCTTTATTTTAACTTCTGTTTGGGTTTATTATTTATAATTCATTTATTGTCTACAGCCAAGCAACGTTGCCCCCGGTTAATCCTCGTATTTAATGTGGGTTACTATTTGAATAAAAACAAGTTGTATGACGTCACGGCGCTAAAAACTCATATTAAAAAAATATTTTAACCTTTATTACTAATCATTTTAACGCCATCAAAATAACCGTTTTGTCTTAGATAATATATATTCCATAGATACAGCCTCCCATTTACGCATTTGAAGAGCATGTGCCAACATACCTAACACCTTGCACCGTAAGTAGAACACCACATATGCCCAATAGCATCTGAATGTAAACAGTTGACAACCATAGGCAGCGCAAAAAGGGTTCACTTCCTATTTATGAAATAAATATAGCGGTTTTTATCGCATTTTTTTCTCAAAAGGGAGCTTATAGTTTCACTAACTGTCGGCCGTTCGGGCGCCTTTTAAGATTTGTATAAATCGATCGAGATGTCGGCAATGGAATATGGTAGAACCTTAGGGTTTTGGCAATATATTGCTAATATCGTGTTATTCCTGCATGGCTAATTAGCTATAGATACCAATGTGTCAAGTTACACACTGCAACGACCGTTTGGGCGTCTTTCATAAATCGACCGATATCTGTAAAAAGGAAATACCGTAGAGCGTAGAGGCTTTGGGTTTTCAGCATTAAGTTCGTATTATCGAGTTATTCCTGTATTACTCAGAAAGCTGAAAGTCATTGCCGAAGTCCATAATTTGTGAATTTAGTTTTCATAGATAGATAGTTTATTGGTCATAATAAAATACATGACTATACTCTCATTTTAAGTAGCTAGCGGTAGAACACATGGGGAAGTTTGACCTTAACTGTGATTAGTTAAAACACGAGACGCCGATAAATAAAACGCGAGACGAATTTTATAAGATACTGGTAGTTCCTGTTACCAACTATCGAAATGTCATTAGCTGTTAATGTCAAAGATCCAAGCGCGAAATCGTGGAATTTATTTCTGTTCGCAATGCTGGATATTTCTACTTTACAATAATTTGGTGCCGTTTTATATTTTTCTTCTGTGTGCTTACCTTCAAACACAGCGCCATCTAGTACCAGCTTATAATGAATGCCGTATAGTCATATATAACTGTATGAATACTTCCAAAGTTGTGTCTCATCATACCACACTTGTGGAGTACCCTGTACCTACATACAAAAATATTTTTGCGTTACGCCCATTAAACCAACAAACGATTCTGTTTTTAATTGTTTGTACCATCACCCTTTCAACAGATATCGCATGGGCAATAATCCAATAAAAACACAGGTAAATTAGAAATGAAGTCGTTGTGAATAAAACACACGGAAATTAATGTGAATATTTCCCTCATATGTCATAAATGCCATATGAGGTGTGCAATTATCGCCCAATTACAGCGATAATTGCACTGTAGAAAGCGAAAGAGCCCTGCGATAATTGCACTGTCCATATCCCTGGCAACTCCTTTGGACAATTTCACAATACACCGACAATTTATAAGTAGGTAAGGTCAGTTTGACAGTGCTTGTTCGGGAAATATTCGTAGGTAATTGCACAAGTGTATCAAAATTAGCGATAATTTTTTTGAAAGCATGTTGTCTAAACACTGCATGAGTTTATTTTCATATTTTGGCGAAAGAGCCCGACACCGAAGGTGGAGGGCTCTTTTAACAAAATATGAAAATGACCGAATGCAGTGTTTTACTGACAACATGCTTGAATAAAAAATTATCAGGTTTATTTTGATGCACGAGTGTAATTTAGGGGAATATTTCCCGAACAAGCATTACTTGTCAAACTGACCTTACCTACTTATAAATTGTCGGTGTATTGTGAAATTGTCCAAAGGAGTTGCCAGTTGCCATGGATATGGACAGTGCAATTATCGCAGGGCTCTTTCGCTTTCTACAGTGCAATTATCGCTGTAATTGAGCGATAATTGCACACCTCATATGGCATTTATGACATATGAGGGAAATATTCGCTGTAATTGAGCGATAATTGCACACCTCATATGGCATTTATGACATATAAGGGAAATATTCCCCTAAATTACACTTGTCTATCAAAATAAACCTGATAATTTTTTATTCAAGCATGTTGTCAGTAAAAAAACTGCATTCGGTCATTTTCATATTTTGTTGAAAGAGCCCTCCACCTTCGCTGTCGGGCTCTTTCGCCAAAATATGAAAATAAACTCATGCAGTTTTTAGACAACATGCTTTCAAAAAAATTATCGGCAATTTTGATGCACTTGTGCAATTACCTACGAAAATTACAAAAGTGCGACTTATTATCACACACAAAAGGAAAATGGTACAAAAACACAAACAATTATTACAAATAGACTAAAATTATGACTTTACTAATTAGATTGTTTGTCCGGGATTGGAATATCCAAATAAAAGGTATCCGTACACAATACACAAAAATTACAATTATTTTCAATGATCACAAATTACACTTTACACTAACGACCGGGTAATCGAAGCATCTTTTCTTCGGGTATCCAAGGACGTTCACAAAAAAACTCAACCTCAAACTGATGAGTCACGTTTAAAACACACTTATGGGGGCACCGACAAACACCTCTCCTTGCAGCACCTTTGATGGTCAAAAGTTCAAACTTCAAAACGTAGAACAATAATTAGCCGCGAATACGGCTTCCGGCTTCGAAACGTTTAATGCTGATTGTGGCTTCAAACAAATAATAGATAATCGCTGGAACTCGCAAGAAGCGAAATAAATTCTTCAACAAAGCGTAACTCGGTGTTGAACGTGGCAAAAAAAACCGATTTCAAAATTTCAACACGTAGTTCTGCGTTGACTGAGGCAAAAAGCTGATTTTAATTTTCAATGATGCGTAGTTCTGCGCAGATTGTGGCCAAAAGCGACATTTTTTCGGTTAACGTCCTTTTAAGGCGAAAGCCTACTTCCACTCATGCTACTTTTAATTGCAGAGAACACTCTCACTTATGAAGCAGTGCGAGTAACGCGACCAGCGACTGTATCAACAACATCAAACAATCTGAACGTCCGGTCAGCCGTCCGTCCGTCCGACTGTTTGCACGATAACGCAAAAAGCCGTTGACGTATTTGGTACCCAGGTGGCCAGATAGTCCCTGCTTACAGACAAACATAAAAAAAAGCATAAAACCTTATAGTTTGCGTGAGTTTACTAAATTTTGCGCAAAGGCGCTGCTACTCCACTTTCAAGTAAATAATAAGGGTAATAACATCCTTCTTCGAAATGAGGCAACACATTTTTACTTACCAGATTGTCAAGGAGTAGGTTTCAATTTAAATAGTGGACTTAGTAACAGCAGGTTGGATAACAAACATAATGCGTTCTCCACTAAGAGATGAACCCTTGTGTGTACACATAGTCTTCATTTGTCCTAGTTCTAATTCACACTTGCGTTGCCAAACATCTTCACTACTACCAATCAGCTACCAATAGATTTTGGATGTAAAACCGCGGGAATATAAACATGTAAAAGAATTCCAAGTTATAATGAAATTTTCGTTCCACATTATACATTTTGCATTTGAAATAGTTCTTATGTAAGCCTTCTAGGGATAATAAGCGACGAGGTCATGCAAATGTGCAGCTGCATAAAATATAGAGTATTGACATTATATTCACCTATATTGCTTTACTATTATTCTACTTGGCAATATTCCAAGACAGGTAGACTAGAAAAAGCAGAAAATTTGAAATCAACGTGCACACGGAGATATCCCTAGAGGTGAAGTCTTTTACTTCTATTTGAGAATGGTTACGTGTTGTAAAATCTAACAGTACAACAAGATAGTTGAAAATTAACAAATTTAAGTGTTTACTCTGTAGGGATTTCGGTCAAAGGATGCGACAATTAGCGTTAAGCTCAACCGTGTCGTCACAATCATTTGGGAGTTACCGCATACTGACCTGTCCAACAAAGCGCAAAGGGTTGTCCATTTTAAGGGCTCCCGTGGGAATCCTGCTAGCTTCATAC